TTTTCCTTTTTCCTGTTTTTCCTTTCTTTTATTCTACACTCTCTTCCTCCCTTTTTCACCTTCTTAGGCGGCAAGGGCTAACCTTGGGTGGCGACAGACACCTTGTCCTGAACCACACTTGGTTATAGAGGCTTGCCAGCACTAACAGAGCAACGTCTTCAGCCATGCATTCTTGTTATCAAGCGTTACCTATTCCTTTGTTGGGCTCGGTAGTGGACGTTTGCGCCACAGCCCCATTCATATGGGTTCCAAACTTAAACCTCCTGATTGGCCTTTCAGAAGGTGTCCCGCCGCTGCATATTTCCCACCTTTGGACAAAGGAACTCTGACTACGTTACTAAGTTTTTCATTGTATATTTTGAATTTGAGACAAAACCGATGTCGAAACTCTACCCTTTCCTTGTGGCTAAGGTCTTATAAGGCAGTAGGGTGGAAAGTTGGGCTAGTTGGTAGTTATTCATCTTGGTTTTAAAAGCGCACAAAAGACGAGGACAGAGTAAGAAACAGTGAGCGCTCGTCCGTCGTTTGTGTTTCTTACTCTGTCCTCGTCTTTTGTGCGCTTTTAAAACCAAGTCTTATAAGGCTTGTTAGGGGGAAAGTTTAATGCAAAAGAGACTTTTTTCTGGAGAACTTTTGGGTGAAAGTATTTGAGAAAAATCAGACAGCAGCGTTGCTGTGCCTCGACTATACCCAGGACACGAAAGTGAGCGCCTCTGGACACCGTACTCTCAACACCATTCGCGGTGTTATATCTGAGGACGACCTGATGGAGAGCTCTAGGAGGAAGAGATTCTTGAAGTCATGCGCAGCCAGTGTGTTGTTGGTGTAAAACGCATCACCATCCGTGGAGATGACAGAGAACTTCCTACGCGACACCTGGTACTTACCTTTGAGCTCAGTACCTTTCCTTCTTCCGTAAAAGTGGGGTACTTCCATTGTAGTGTCCAGCCTCTCATACCTGCCCCTGTTTGTTGTTTCCGCTGTCAGCGCTTTGGGCATGGCGCGCGGTCCTGCCGTGTCTGCGAGGCATGTGCCAGGTACGGTCGCAGTGATCATATGACTGTCATGAAGACATGAAATGCAAGCACCCTGCGTATTCTACGTCATGTGAACACTTCAAGGGAGAGAAAATAATTTTGACCCTGAAAGTTAAGGAAAATATCTCCTATCCTGGGAAGCGTCGCCTCTTGGGTTTCCAGAGAGGCTCTTTTGCCGAGGTGGTGCGCAGGGGACCTGCACCGCCTATGGCGTCTGTGGGAGCGCAAGTGTGTTATAGGAACCTTGCGTAACCACTGAAGCCCTCTGGTCTCAGGCTAAGGGTGCAACTTCCAGGGTGTGCTATCTCAGCTGCCCAGGCAGGTGCCCTTCCCAACCGTGCGAAAGGTTCAGATTCATCAACCGCGCAGACGGAGGCCACCAGTCGCAGACGGAAGGTACCTCTGGAGCAGTGCACGCTGCTCCACCCGGGATGACAGGGTGAATGCTGGTCTGTCAAGATCCACCTGAGCACAAGGGTCTGCGCTCGCTGCACAGGGGTCGGCACCCCCTGCTCTTCCATACCAGCTACCGCGAGGTCGGGGTCCGGGCCCCTCTGCCTCTGGTGGATCACAGAAACCTGGAGAGCCGTCGAGGCTACAGGCTCCCAAGGTGCAGCCCCTTCCGGCTCTAGGAGAGCCAGTAGGTGAGAGTGGGTCAAGGTCCGACGAGGACAGACCCCGCTCGAGTTCAGAGTCTCTATCTTTAAAAAGAAAAATGCTCCGCGCGTAAAGAAGTCGTTGAAAATTGACTTATACTCTTGACTTCATTTTATTTTTCTTATAAACTTTGCAATGGTCTATCCTTTTAGCATCGTGCAGTGGAATTGTCGCGGCCTTCTTTGTAAGATTGATTAACATGAACTCCGTCCCGTGGCCTTGTGCCTACAGGAGACTTATCTGAGTGTCACCCACACAAAAGTGCTACATCTCCAGCTGTGAACGGCAACTACAATTTACAGTCAATAAGATGAGCAAGTGGGCGGCTCAAAACTGTTTCACATTTTCAAAAAAAAAAAAACTGTCTGCGTTTCCTTTTTGCTCCCCCGGGTATTGTCCCTGGATCGTTCCTGGCGTTTAAATGACATTGACATACCCATTCAACACGAATACAAATTTCTGGGCATAATTCTCGACAAGAAACTCACTTTTGTACCTCATTTGAAGGAATTGAGGCGAAAATACTTAGTCATCAACCATTCTTAAGGTGTTGTCCCACAACTCGTAGGGGCCTGACAGGCGATCCTCCTGCGACTCTGCAATTCCTTAGTTGTCGCCTCGACTGTGGCGCAATTGTGTATGGGTTTGCACGTCATCTACACTGAAGATGCTGGATCCGATTCACCATCTGGGGCTCCCAATGGCTACAGGTGCTTTTCGCACATCACCCGTGTTGAGTTTGTGTAAGGCACCTTTCAGATGTCTCTCGACAAGTGTAGACAGTACCTTAGTCTCTCTCATGCTTGCAGGGTCTATTAAACCCTCAACACTCATCCTACAGTACCATTCAAACCTGTCGATTCTCTCAACTTCTTTAAAACAAACCACTTTTTTTAACTTTCGCATTCAAAGCCTTTGTGTCTCCCTCGAGTTTTCACTCAATGACGCGATACTTAAGCACAAATGAAAAAGTTGCTCCGTGGGACGAATTTCCGATCTTCTGCGACTGGTCGCTCACAAAGTGTAATAAACGGGCTATTTCTCCTCAAGGCTTGCAGCAGGAGTCTCAGTCATTGCAGGAGAGATTATACTGAATTCTATACAGATGAGTCAAAATCTTAAGCTTTTCTTAGTTTTGCCGTATATTCTGGTTTCTTCGCGAAAGCTTTGTGAATGGATGTTGTAGTAAGCATTTTCTTTGCAGAATTTTATGGTCTTTCTCTATCAGTTGAACGTATTATGGGCAACTGCATATTCAAGGCCATCATCTTTGTTGATTAACAGAGCGTGATACAGGCTCTTTCTTATAGACTTACTACAAAGAACCTTCTTTTACTACATATACGTTTAAAAATGAACAGGGCTGTCGAACTAGGAAACACCATAAAATTCTTCTGGGTACACAGTCATGTCGGAATTTTAGGGAATGAGAGAGCAGATAAACTGACTGCATGTGCGAAGAACTCGGCGACATCTCTTGGCTTGCCCTGTCACGAACTTAGGCCACTTTTGAAGTCGTGGCAGTCGGAGTGGGACGCGGTGTGCAGCAATAAACTTCACGTCATTGAACCCATCTTGGCTCTGTGGGAGAACTCGTTCCACAAGGAACGTTGGCTTGAGGTTCTACTTTGCCGCCTGGGGATTGGCCATTCACGTCTGACGCATCTACATCTTTCTAGCGAAGGCATAAAGCTCTGTGTGCATTGTGGGGAAGTACTGACAGTTTTTGCAGATTTTATGGCATTGTAGATTTCATCACCAACTTTGCCGACAAAGTTTTTTTGAACTTTTTAGAGGTCATCTTCCATTTCATCCTATGTTTCTGCTTTGGCGATCATCCTTTAGTGTGACTTGACAGTGACTTTACATTTTTTAAAAAGACCGGACATATACATCAGCTATAACTTTAACCATTAAAACTATTTAATATCTCTTTCTTAGTAGAACCGTCTTAAGTAATTTTATCTGGCTTAATATGGCCTAAGTTGCTCGTGCGCCATAAAATCCCAATCATTATTACCAGCCAATCAGAGCTCGACGTCGTTCTGACGTCACCGAAACTCCTGCGCAGGAAGCAGACGACTTGCTCCCCGCATTGCTTTTAGCTCACTTGAGTCGTCATCATATACTGTAAACGACTTATTTTTCGCGTGCTCAATATTTCGCAATTTAGTTTAAAGATGAAGTTTTGAAATAATTCGCGGGTTCTAATTTTCGCGACGCGGTGCGATCTCAATATAGATTCCAGTGTGTTTGCATTTTACCGCCATTGTTCGCGGGGCCTATTTTTTGTGAACTGTAGGCGATTCGCGAAATTCGCGAAAATTAGGTCCCCGCGAAAATTAAGTCGCTTGCAGTATATCGTGAAACGTATTTCGTAAACTAGATTACAGGATATATAAGGCGAGCACGCGCCCATTTTATGATTTATTGCACTGTAATGAATTCTAATTTCAAGAGCACAACAACAATCGACATTTAATGCTGCGACGCGAAGTTGTACCAATCACGGGTATTTTAGGCTACCTTCCAGACTGATAACCTTTCGATTCAGGTTAAATATATGCGACTGAGATAAAAAAAAATATATATATATTGAGTCATATATGGTAATCTAGCTTTTTTGTTTTATCACTGTTTAATCAAAATTAAATAACGCAATGTATTTTTGGTACCTGAAAATATAAGTGGATTCTACAAATGATAAAAAGCTATATAGTTACTCGTTTCACTGTTGAAATAGTACCTATTACCAAAAGAACGCGGAAAATATATTCTTAATTTAGCGGTTCAAACCGGTTTGAACCGTTATTTTTGCTTCTCGGAACTGGACCGGAGCTCAACCGAAAGCCGTGAACTCGAACCCGCACCGAACCGATAAAAATTTCGGTTCGACACTCCGAACACGACACGATCGGGTCTGGATAATTCGGAGGCGTTAGAGAAACTCGAGTTGCAGGACGACTTAATCTTTGGCGTCACAGCACTGGCGCGGATCGCGCGGGAACTTCAAATTCGAATTTAAGGTTTTTTTTTTTTTTTTTATTTCACAAATTCCGAGTTTCCAAGTTCCGAATTTTAAAGAGTAATCTCCAAACATTGTTTTCAATCGTTTCGGATAATAAAAAAATCACTTTGACCTGCCAGTGCTTTTTTAAGAGTGTACTGTCTCCAACAGTACGTAAGACCCTTTTCACGAAGAAAGTTGCAGGCGTTGGTTGTGGGGCATTAAGCCGGGTACCTATTGCATGGAGAGAGAAAGTAAATTGACTGTTCTTCTGTTGTTTCTAAGGTGCCTCTGGCCAAGGTATGTATAGCACCACCACATAAACTGTCACGGCTATTGGGTCTCTCATATTGTATGAATGTGTACGTGGGTCCGTAGAGATACGTTTATCTGAATCACCGATGCTGCACGCCATAACAACCACTACAAGACATTGAGATTCCACCATATTCGTAGATTTTAACCTGAGGGGATCATAGATGGGTTCCCAAGAGCGTATAAAGAGTATATCGCTGCCAGGCTAGCTGTTGGTGGTGGTGATCGGATTGATAATGAGGGTTCGCGTTGGGTATGTGACGCTTGGCCTTCGACGGCAGGGATGACGTGGTCAAAAGTGGGGTCGGAAGAGGGACACTGCTGAGGACCTTGTGTTCGGGATCCAGAGCGGCGGTCTGTGGGGAAAGAGGGGCGGGGGTTTCCCTTTGTATGAGAGGGGGCAGTGAGAGGAAGTGGACGACGCATACTCCGTGCGGTGGGTCGCGCGATCAGATCTTATTTGGAGGAGGTCGGGGATCACCAGACGGTGCACTTGTTGACTGGGTTCATGGGAGATCCGACCGGGCAGTTGAACTCCGCGGCAAACTCGGGCGTGTTGGACGTGGGACCGATGACCCTACGCAGCACATTGAACGTCTGGTTGCAGCAATTCGTGAGTTAATTATATATATAGATCAACTAAACCAAAGTCAAGTATGCACACCCCCCCTCTCCGCGACTCTTTGAAGTTCCGTGGTTTTGTTTGCGGCTCTTAGGCCAGGCCAGCCTGGCCACCCCTGATATAGATCAACTTATTGTTGATAAATAAGCATTTGGTCAAGTGAAAACTGTTGGTCTGCTAACAACACCTAGAAGAACCGAGGCCTGCGAACAGCCTCCTCTTTACAGCGAAGCTTTTTATGACAAAGGTTCCGTGGATTTTTCGTGTGCAATGACTAAAAACTCCACGCTCACATCGCCGCACGCGCCGCACGCGCCACACGCGCACGCTTTACCCGTATGAAAGATTCGAAGCTAATGACCAAAATAAAGCGTTGACGAACGCACGTGCAAGATGCCATTTGTTTTAGGATTTTGCGTTGGAATAGTTACTGCTGCAGACGCCGGTGTTGCACGCGCACGCCTTCCCCGTATAAACAATCCGAAGTAAATAATCATAATAAAGCGTTGACGAACGCGCGTGCAAGACAGGCTTTTGCTTAAGAACAGTCAGTGCTGCAGACGCTGGCACGTGCGGCGCGTGAAACACCATCCCTGCATTCTCCTTGATGCTTAGGTAATTTAGCAATAAGTCTGTTCAGTAGATCAGTTATCAATAGGCACCATTTTCAATATCAGTAGACCCTCAGGTAGATAATAAATGTTTCCCAAAGATTTCCCGCTCTGCGACCCGCACCGGCCTCGCACCGCACTCTCTTTGTCGTCGTTCCAAGCGTTTGCGTGCCTAGTTTCCTTTCCTTCCGCTCTCCCGGGGTGGCGGTCCCGTCGCGCGTGTCTAGTTTCCTTCGGCTCCTCGGGGCGGGTCTGTGTCGTGTGCTAAACAGCTCCGCAAGTCATCCACATTCTCAGCGTGGAATGGCTCATGATTTTTTGCATGGAACGTCATCGCAGTTGGACGGCGCCAACTCGGAAATTGGACACGAGCCCGATGCCATGCGTCTTTCGACACGTGATTGGACACGAAGCCCAGCGGACTGCTGACGTGGCACTCGTGTCCAACCTGTGTCTTCGCTAAATCTCTGTTACGACGTCAAACTTTAAACACTATTGGCGACGAGTTGTTTTCCTGGTTTTCTTTTATGGTACATATCTGGGACGTCACGACCAGGATTTTCGATGACCAGTGACAATTGTAATTGTGGCTGTAAAAAGAACGGCGAAAGCTTACAATTATCGCGTCCTTAAACCAACACCATGAAAGTGACACTCTAATGTCCCTCTTACTTTCATTTGCGAAAGTAAAATTCATCATACTCAAGACGTTACAAAAATAAATGTTAAATGCATGAGCCCTTGACAGGTGGCGCTACCGGCGCACAATGCGTAGTGACTGTCATCACTAGATGGTACAGGAGGAAACTCTTCATTCCCTCTGTCGGCTAATTTTTATCCCCAAGGTGTGGCTCATGAGGGAAACCTACTTTTCGGACGGGAGAGACGTCCATCACTCAGACGACATTCAGGCTGGCTCTCGAGAGGAAAATCGAGGCACGATACGCCGGACGGTTCGACCGAAAGCAGACGTAGCTGTATGAGAGCCCTCTGTAGGGAGTACCCTCCACCACCGCAACTGGACACCCTTACAGTATGGTACCCCGAGCCGTTGTCTATCTTAACTCAGGCTTGGTTCGCCGATCGGGCCACCCTCTTATGACAAGTTGCGGTCGTAACAACGTCATCCGGAGCGTTTGTCCAATCGTGAAAGGCTGACCACCGCGATGCTTGTAGTCGAGCACGTAGACAATGGGTGATGTTGGTACTGCACGTATGCAGGGGGGTCGCTCTGTTTCACAGTTGGAGATCCCAGAACTACTTTTCCACGAGCGTGCGTGCTCAACAGGTCCCCTCAGAGCGCGGAGCTCGCTCTGGTAGCATGTGCTACGCTTAAATTGCCCAATGCCCACAATTCGCGCGCGAAATGCGAGGAAATCGTCACCGCCGGTGAAGTGTCGTTGAAGATATGAGTTCGTGCATAAGGCTGTGCGGAGCGCAGGGGTGCTAAGCTCGCCTCCGGCGGGAATCTCTCCGATGCCACGTCGCGAGGGAGGGGAGGAGCTTCTTTTGACTCCGCCCCGGCGAGTTTCCCACTCCCCCTCTTACATTTCCGACCCCCCCAGCGGCGGCGAGTTCCCCATGGCGTAGCTCCGATTTTTCCCTACGCTCCGCAGTGAAGGGTTTTTATTTTATTTAAATCGGGGGATCGGTGGCCGGCTGGGCTAGCGCACACCAGTTTGGAGCACGTCGAGCGAAAGGTCCGTTGCAGAACCCAGGATGCTGGGTTCAATCCCCACCCCTGCCCGTTTCGATGTTGATGAGCATCGTACCGGCGTGCAGTCGTGTAACACTACTGCGGGATGGACGTTAAAGACCCCAGGCTAGCGGTTGTACGGCAGTGCATGGCTAAATTTCTCATCTACAGCTGGGGGAATCTTCCCCATTGAGGCAGACCAAGTTTTAGGCAGTATCAACGTACATACAGCCCAATTTTTTTTTATTTAAATCGTAAATAACAAATAAGAATAGGTAACAGCAGGGATGCTAATTATACAAACATTGCTTGGATGTGGGCTAGTTGACTAGACATTGTGATGGTTTGCTGCGCCACGTAGATGCAAGAAGAACGCTCTTGATAAAGATATAAACTGAAGCACAGTATAGACGAAAAACAACATACAGGAATGGCGCAGACTAAGAACTGTGTAATTTCTTTCTCATCTTTCTCTTCCCACACCGCCACACAGCCACAATATTTTTTCTTTTTTTTTTTTTTAGAATAGGGTGCGCGTGGAGCGAAAGCTCGCGCTGCAGAACCCAGGATCGTGGATTCACCCCCACCCCTGCCCTTTTCGATGTTGATGAGCATCGTACCGGCATGAGGTCGTGTATCACTACTACGTGGTGCATGATAAAGACCCTAGGCTAGCAGTTATACTGCACTGGCTAAATTGCTTATCTACAGTGGGTAACAATGTCGCCATGATCTGGCATGTTCTCCTGCTGTATAAACAACTAACGGACAATTTGTTTGTCAAAATACGGTGTGGAAGAAGAAAGATGAGAAAGAAATTACACAGTTGTTAGTCTGCGCCATTCATGTATATTGCTTTTCTTCTATCATCTGTTTTAGTTTGAATTTTATCAAGTGCGTTTATCTTGCATCTACGCAGCACAGCAACCCATCAAAATAATTGTAAAAGCCTGTAGGTAATGGTAAATTGCGTTCCTGGTTGCAGATCGCCGTAAAAACACATTTGTTTCTAGGATTCACTTTGTAGAATTTGGATGTAGGGTTCACGACGGGGGCGACGGTTCATTCACGGCTCCATCGCCTCAAGCCCGGTTCGCAACGCAGTTCATCGCACACCCACCTTACCACGTCTTTCGACAGGCGATAGTGTTGTTGAAAATGAACGTCGTCCATGTCAAACACATTGGCGTGGTTTAAATACCTACGCCGACGGCAAAACACGAACGAAAACGCTGCCATTTTGGACGCTTCTCCCTGATCTCGCGCCCAACTCGCCCAAACTCGCCTAGGTCGGAGCCGGCAAGCTTTTCCCATCCGCGGCGGCTTCTGCCACGTCACAATGACGTGACCGCATCTCGCCGCGAGTTCCGAATATGCAACTCTCCGACTGCCTCAAACCCTCCGTTTAACGTCACGATCTAGGGAGTGTCGGCGCGTGTCGTCATGCACGGCGCCGACCAATCGCGGCGGTCGGCGAGTTTGGTGGAGAACTCGCCTCGATCTTGCCGCGCCGAGCTTAGCCCCCCAAGTTCGTCTTTAAATCGTCTGGACTTGGCGGTACGCTTGCGCCGTGCCTGCCTCTTGCACAGGGATTGCGGCAATGTCAGAACGCCGAGCTCTGATCGACCCCGATTGGACGGCTAGTGGGTAGACACTCAGTGCTAGCTGCCTTGAGGTTTACCCACTATTCTTCCAATCGAAGTCAATCAGAGCTAGGACTTCTGACAACACCGCAACCCTCACGCAAAAAGCAAACCAACTTTTACTCAGCATGGCGGGGGAATTAAACTCTACTGGCGTTTTGTGCACCTTGTTTTTCACAGAGCTCGGTGTTAAACCAACACAAGGCCCGTGAATGGATGGTTTACGTCATCTCCGTCAATTGAGATCAAGGCAGAGATTGAACGAGTTCCGCGTCAGCGTTCAGCTGGACCACCTTTTCAATCGGTCCTTTGCTGACTGAACACGAGCCTAAGCCGAATGTTAACGCAGCATTCAGCTACGTCAGCCGAGCGCTGCGCCAGAAACACAAAAAAATAAATCATGATCTTGTCCCCATAGGCTTAGTTCCTGACAGCGGCTATAGGCTCGCGATGGTGGGATCCCCTCTTCAATAGACATTTATCATTTCCAGGTAAATACAAATGACACAAAACACCAAGCGTATGAAGCACCTTTTGCGGGCAAGAGGCATCGAGAATAACATGCACGCGACCAGGCTGTTTGCACGCCTGCTGGCACCTGAACACCATGGCCGTGGCATTTTCTAATTATAAAACTATAAGAGCACTTCAGAAAGCTTCAGCTGTTCTTCACGCCGTCGTTGAGGCTTTGTTGCCTATCAGTCGGAAGTCTCTTGACACTGGCCATTCTTTCCGGCTAGCGAGCTCTCACAAGCGAGGAAAATCCGTCACGAAGCACGATTCGCACTAGCATTGCACGTGGCGTCTCACTGTGCAGTCTGCTGCTATACGCCACCCGTGGGCACCGCACATAATGTCCCCCCTTTAACGGAAAACGGAGCGTGCCTTTCATTCGGGAACATCAATTGTCAACTGGTTCGGGGAGTTTTTATTTCATCGCGACACGAATTGCGCAGCCGTCTGCCCACGCGGACTGGCATGGAAATGGAGGGTGAAGCATGCCCGGTAGGGTCTTCATTCACTCTTGTAAGTCGGCGAGGCCGTGGACGATAAACCTTCGTGTGTTCGCCTAAAGTTGCGAGAAATGCGCGCGCATGCGCATAGCCCTTCTCGCGAAGGCCCAGTACGAACAAATAAGAAAGAAACGCTTGGGAATATATAAGTCAGGGCGTCCTTTGCCAGAACTGCTACCCTTCAACAACGCCGCAACCGGCTGAGTTGCCATCGATTACTCTATAACAAGACGTTTCAAACAACAACCCTTCCTGCAACGTACCTGAATAAAGCCGGGCTGTGTGCATCTACGAGGATCCTCAGCTTTAATGTCTCGGGACGATCCTTGCTGCACCATACCTGCGTCATGTGGACGGCCGTTCAGAACAAGAGGAAAGCGCTGGTGTGCGAGTGCGAGTGCAGAAAAAGCATTTTAAGCGCGCCAAGCACTCACGTTGGCGGCGCTGATCCAGAAGAGCTGCTGTGGGGTGTACTTGAGGCCCGGCAGCCCGGCCTCGGGACCGTTCTCCTTCACCCACTTCTTGTAAGCCTGTGCCAAAACCAAAAGCGGGCTGTTGGACGCCTCGCTTGATCGTCGTACGATATGAAGGCTCGCTCACACTGTACAGTTCGTCGACGCTGCGTTATGTGGCGAGAGCTTGCGTGTGCGTATGCTGCGAGTCTCCAATACATCCGTGGTAGATTATAGAGCGTAGCAACCATTTCAAAGAGTAGCAGCACGCAGAATACGAAGCACAAAGCCCTTTATATCGGGCTCTGGTGGAGCACGAGTGTCCCGACGACTCGTGGCTAGGCTTGCGCGTTTCTGGCATATACCAATAAATTCCCAAAGTTCACACCGGGGCCGGTTTTATTAAAAACTGAAAAAACCGGAAACCCCAGAAATCAAGCTGTCCTTCACAAAGAAATACTCAAGCTTGTGTCGACTTGTGGCAAATGGTCGTTTTGGAGCGCGCTGGGATTAGTAGACCAGATCCGAGACGGAGCATGCGATCCGAACGAAGCCGCTACGGATCCTCAGCGGAGGAGCTATGGTGCCTGAGCGCGTCTCGGACTGGTCTGTTTAGCGTCTTGTCCCGCCCATGCATCAAAAGTGGTGCCGAAGTGGCAACAAATGACGTCGCAGAAGCCGTAGTGTCATGCTGTTGCATGTCGCGATCCTGGCGGTTGGTTGTAGAAATGCTGGCGAAAAGCATAAGCGAACGCGAGTGTCGCTGTCCTCACGCCGTTCCAGGCGTCCCAACTTCCAAGTGCTGTGCTTCCGTGGACTGTCACAGTGGAGAGCGACCTGCAGCAAAACAGGCGTCTGCCACACTCATTACAGCTGTTGGGACACCGCCAGGATCACGACCGGCGACAGCATGACACTTGTATGACGTCATCAGGCGAAAATTGAGGGACCACTTTTTTGGACGTGGTAAACACACCACGTCGGGAACGCGTTCCAGGCACCATAGTGGAACTAACCTTTAGTGGAACATGACCACTCCTCCGGGATCGGCGGATGCCTTCCCGTCATTTACGTTCCCGGGAATCCCCTTCCCGCGGTGCCGTATCTTGAGGCGACATGCCCGGCGAATAGTAATAATTGCAATTGTGTGGGTATTTATAGTGTGTAGTTGGTCAGCCATTTCAAAGTTGCGATGAGTCACTCGCTGTAGATGAGCAATTTAGCCGGTGCAGTACAACCGCTATCCTGGGTTTTTTAACGTCCACCACGCAGTAGTGATATACGACCGCACGCCGGTACGATGCTCATCCAGATCGAAACGGGCAGGGGTGGAGATTGAACCCAGGATCCCTGGGTTCTGCAGCGCAAGCTTTCGCTCCACGTGCTCTGAGCTGGTGTGCGCTAGACCAGTCGGCCTCCGATCCCCCCTAATGCCTTGCGATAATGGAAGTCATGTGTGCGCGCCGAGGGCTGGCCAGGCTAGATTCGGGTCGAATCCGCGGAAATCGGCAGAGCGACTTTTCCCTGATCCGGATCGAGATCTCAAGTGGGAGCTGACCCAAACCGACGAGTGAAACACTTCCATCTCGATCTCGATCGCCCAGTAAAATAAGCGCGCTCCACAAAAGTTGATCCCGACGTTGTCCAAAACGACTAGTGGAATTACCCATTAGAATACAACCCTCACCGAACTGTCCATGGGGCTGCTATAAACGGACACGCGGGTTTGACGTCACGGAGGTGCGACGGCGCTATGATCGCGCCGGAGATAAATCCCTTCTACATGGGCTTTAGCCGGAGCCGGGTGGTGTGGGCAGAAGGGCGCACGTTTTGCATGGGCGTCAAAGCAGTTTATAATGCCGCAAAGCTGTGTAGCCTTTAATTGCTCCGATAGGTACAGCAAAGTAGCGGAGTGAGTTTCCACAAGTTTCTGGAGGACTCTGAAAGGCGCAGAAGGTGGATAATAACTGTGGATCGAAAAGAATGGTCGCCTCGCGCGGACGACCGTATTTGCGGCAAATATTTTCTTGAAGGCAAGTGTGGCTTCCATTTGACTCTCCGTCCCCAGGCTTGCTTACATACAAGGAAACCGTCGTCTGATCGAGAATGCCCAGATTATCTTCCTAGGGTCTTCGCACACAAAGCACCGGCCAAGCGCTCGTCGGTGGCTCGCTACGCCCGTGCTAACATGCGGAAGGAGATCGGCAGCAGAACGGACAAAGCGTTAACTTTGGTCATGCCTTGTGGTCATGAGGGTAATCAAAAATGAGAGACGTTTACAAATCTCCCTAATGCGAAATTAGAGCCCAGCTCTTCAGGAGGAGAAGGGAGGGTATGCCCTTCCCCTCCTCCTCTACCCCTCCGCCTCCCCTCCTTTTTTCCCCTCATTCTCCCATCCTCTTTTCCTACTCTTCCGTACCCGCCCCTCCTCCTCCACAACCTCCCCACCTCCCAGAGTTTCCCCGCTAAATTTAGCTGGAAAATTGACTCCAAGTGACCTCAACACCAATTCAGTTTCCCCGCTAAATTTAGCGGGAAACTGACGTCACCTGACTTTGTATCACGTTACCCGTAAACAAATTTAGTTGCACCGCTAGAATTAGCGGGAAAATTTACATCTCGTGACCTCACCACCAATTCGATTTCCCGGTGAATTTAGCGGGGTGGTTAAACCGATGACGACGGCGACGCTGCTATACGTGAAAACGGGCGCCTAAGAGCTGCGCTCTGAAATGTCACACCTTGACTGAAGGACGCTGTGTGTATTTAATAAATTAATGAATACACTTCGGCAGGCCCACAGTCCGCTGATCCCGCCGGCAGAGCGGAAACCGGCTCGAAGTAATCGTAGGCCTCAAGGGACTTGTACGCCTGCGCTGTGTCGGCCGTAAACTAACTTGACAAAAAAAAAAAAAAAAAACAACGAAAATTAAATAAACGACGACGTGAGCCATCGCGTCGGTGGTAGCAACTTCAAGTCGGAACTTCAGCAGGCCTTGTTTACGGCGCAAGGATCGTAAAAGGTAACGCCGTCCACGCACAGTTTGTCTCGATACCGCTGCCGTTCAGGCTTAAATAGTCGGGCAGAACATACCACACACGCTGGCTGCAAATACGACGCACAAATAAATCTAGAAGCGTCTCTACAACGTCAGCAGCGAGCACATGCCACACAACACAATGGCGAAAACACGGAGAGCCTGTCCGCTTCTGCCCACATAACTTCTGAGCATGCGCAGCCTTCCGGCCATGTTGGTAAACAGAGCCGCGCTGCGTGTCGGTCTTCTGTTTCCTTTCGTTCTCAGTCACGTGGGTTTCATGTCTGTTATGCGGGACGAAAAAATAATAAAACATTTCAACCTGGATTATGCAGGAAAATATAAGTGCGGCAAAACAAGAATGTGTGACAATGACGCATTTTTCGTAAACACTTTCAAGCGGCGTGGAGAGATCAAAACAATGTTTTACCGCATATAAGAGACGACATTCAAGATGGCTGCGCCCTTGTGGAAAAGATGTTACGCACTCCTTATCTTGTTGCCATCTCTTATCAGTATCGGGAAATTTTCCAAATATTCGGGTTCCGGGAGCTTGGTGAACACCATGTCTGTGTCCTGTTTTCTTCAACATAAGCTCCAAAAGGCCGTTCCATTATGGGCCTCTAGGCGGTGCCATTTTAACGAACGTAACGCCGTCTGTTTTCATTCCGGGTACTTTGGAGCTCTGGAGCCGTCACGTAGAGTCCGGCTGACTGACCGCCATTTGGGAACTGTTTTATCTGGATGGATTGTGCACTGGTCCTGTCGAAAATTGACTGGCTGTTTTGAGTTTTGTTATCTCCTATAAGACATGATAGCGTGGAATTTAATTATCGCATTAGCATTACTTCACTGTTAAAGCCCCCCCCCCCCCCCTGCTTTTTTTTTTATACAAATGGCGAATTCGCTTGGATCTTCCTGCGTGCTGGGACCGGACATTTCATCGAACGCCGTTTCATCGAAGCCGTTTCATCGAATGCCGTTTCATCGAACGCCATTTCATCGAACACCGTTTCATCGAACACCGTTTCATCGAAGCCGTTTCATCGAACGCTGTTTTATCGAACGCCAGGGTGGCATTCCCGCTTCCTGAAGCTGGTCGGAGGTGCCCATCCCAGGTCCTGGAAGTTTTTGACTTGCATCGCCACAGAACATCAACTGACGGAAGACAAGCTGGAGGCGATGCTGAGTTCTTAAGAGCCTCCTCGCCAGAAGATGGCCATATAGCGGAAAGGAATGTGAAGGTCCGCCTTTTTTATGAGAACCGACGGACCATGGCTGTGGGGGACTTTTTGAGAGCAATTTCTCATCATTTGAAACGGTGAATGGCTGTCGCACGAACACATGAAGCCCCGAAAGTTTTGAAATAAAATTTGAAGTGACGTACTTACTTTCGACTTTATTGAGTCTTAAAACTAAAAAAACAATGTTTCGTTGTAGTTTCATAAACAGCACCTCAGCTTTAGCTGCTGCAAGCTTCGGGCAGTAAAAAAGTATCGATAGAAAGACATGAGAGGCTAGGAGGCTCACATGACTAAAGTTGTTGCGCTTGCGCAAAACCTATGTCGCCTTCTGGCCTCCATGAGTTGGAGTGCGCTCTCACCGGGAGTGCGACTTTTTATTTATTTGTTACAATACCCTCAAGGCCAATCGGGTAATACAGAGGGGGTGAACAGATATGCACAATATGCGAAACAAACATAAAGACCGGGACAAATATCTTCATGGGTTACTTGCATCAAAATAAAATGTAACAGCTACAAGTTTGGACATTAAAAAACCAGACGATGAAATGGGTGAATGACACGAAAATGCACTCGATCCGTGCATAAAAGAACATCTGTCACACTTTTTATTTAAAATACATTCGATGAAACGGCCGTCAGCGATTCGATGAAACGGCGTTCGATGAAACGGCGTTCGATGAAACGTCCATTTTTTCGATGAAACGGCGTTCGACGAAACGGCGTTCGACGAAATGTCCGGAAACCCCTGCATGCTCTCGAGCGCCCTTTCCAGAGCGCGCGAGATCGTCAGGTC